GCACATCACACTCCTTAGCGCTACCATAGGTTTTTTCCCATAGGATTACACAAGCCTTTCTGATGGGACCTGGTTCACACTAACCGCCTCGTATATGTAAAGAGCAACCATGTGGTTCTACATAGTCTCCTCATCTGTCAGGCACTTGCCAGCTGCTGGCTGCCATTTTTACATCTATTTTTTTCTTTAAGATTTATTTATTTTATGTATGTGAGTACATTGTCATTCTCCTCAGACACACCAGAGGAGGGCATCGGGTCCTATTACAGATGGTTGTGAGCCACCGTGTGGTTGCTGGGAATTGAACTCAGGACCTCTGGAAGAACAGCCAGTGGTCTTAACCGCTGAGCCATCTCTCCAGCCCGCATCTATTTATTTATGTTGAGTATATGTGTGCCCACGTTGTGGCTCGTGTGTGGAAGTCAAAGGACAACTTGTCAGTTCTCTTGATCCTGAGAATCAAACTCAGATCACCAGGCTTGGCAGCACACACTGTACCTGCTGAGCCAGCTCACCAGCCCACGGATTATTTCAGTAGTTGTCTCCCATGGTTTCTTTTCAAACCTTAAAACAATCTGAAAGCTTAAGACCATTCCCATTTGACAAATAGAGAAAGTTGGCTCTTGGATGAGGAGTTGAGGTCAAAATGATAGTTGAGGTGGTAAATCGAGAGCAGACCTCAGGGCTCTCCCCCTCCCACCCATCGGCAATGTATTACTGAGCCAGCAACCACGCCTGCTGCTGGCTTTTCTCTTAGCTAGGAACCTTCCTGCCCTAAGCTCACCGGGCCTGATAGAGGGACACGGGCAGGATGACCCAGGGCTGGGACGACTGCACAGAGGGTAAAGAGCTTGCCCTAGAAGCATGAGGGCCTGGCATTGATCTCCCAGAACCCATGTTTTTAAAAGCACGGTGGCATGTGTGTACAATCCTAGTGCTGCAGGTGGGGCTAGGCTCCCTGGGCTGAGTGGCCAGAGTGGCAGTTACAGGCCATGGCAGACCTTGTTGCAATTCAGGCGACAGGATCCTGAGGAACAGCTAAGGTTGTTCTCTAAACACTACACTCACACACACACACATACTCACACATACACAAACTCACACTCACACTTATGCACACATACTTATACACACTCACACTCATATACACATACATACTTATACACACTCACACACACAAACTCACACTCACACACACACACTTATGCACACACAGGATACACACACTCATACATACATTTACACACTCATACACACACACACAAACTCACAATCACACACAAGCTCACACACATACTCACACACTCATGCACATATACTCACACTCATGCACACATACTCACACTCATACACACTCATGCACACATAATCATACTCATACACACTCACACACTCACACATACACACTCACACATTCATACACATACTCACCTCACTCTCATACATACACATACACTCATCACACACTCACACATATTCATGCACTCATGTACACACTCACACACTCTTGTACACACACTCATACACACACTCACATACACACACTCACACATTCACACACACAATCATACATACACTTGCACTCATAGACACTCACACGCTCATGCACTCATGCACACTCACGCAGGTTTATGTACTCATATACACACTCACACATGCTTGTGCACTCATATGCATACTCACACACGTGCACACATACTCTCACACATAGTAACATGTACACGCGCAAAGACATGTAGAAAATAAAAGAATAAACTTAAAATGTAAAACAAAGGCAGCCCACTGGCCTTTTCTTCCAGGTCTAACCAGTTCTGTGATTGTACCAGCAGAAGCTCTGGCCAGCCTGACCCAGTGTGGCCTCTGTAATGCCATGTACAACCCACGATGCAACCAAGTAGCCAGTTGACAAATCACGGGGAAGGAAAAATAAAATAAAAACCCATAAAAAATTACAATCTATTGTAGGAAAGATCAATTGTAAGTCTGGACTCCCTGCCAGAAAGCACAATGGTGAGGATGTCAATTTGGGCCAGGCTAGCTCAGCTTGCCTGAGGTTTGCACTTCACTGTGGAACTCCAGCCAGAGCCCTCTGTGGAAGGAGGAAGATGGTGGTGATGTTGACGGTGGTCATTATGGTGATGGTGATTCCCCAGCTACAATGTCATCCTTAGACAACATTACGTAATCCTGAATTATGTACCTGTTAATTAAATACATCTCCTTTTACAATTTCTCAGATATTTTCATGTAACATATTTATAGGAGTAGGTTTGTGGATAATGACAGGCAGAATTACCCACAAAACACTGAGGAGAGCGAATCACAAAAACTGATTCTAAAATAGTCCAATGTTACATTGCCCAGAATTAAGTAGGTTTCTACAGCTCAGAAGGCTAACATGATAATAAAGACCATATTTGCTTATGATACTTGGCTCTCAGGCTAGGAAGAGCAAGAGACCACAGTCACTGGCCACTACAAATGTGGCAGGGTCAAATGTGAGGTTACCAAGTCCAGCACAAGCATGGTAGAGCACGGTAATAAGTCCCAGCAGCATCCCAGTCTCTACTGTCATCGTGAGTCTAGCACAGATGCACTCCAGCTTGTGGTTGATAAGTTAGCAAAAACCTCACCTTGACTGGGCACACCCAACCCTGGTGTGGAAGAGACTCACTGCAGATACTCTATGTTCCCACTTGTCAAAGCAAAGTATTTGTTGCTGTCACAATATTGTTGCTGTCACAGAAGCAGATAGAATGCTGCAGCACCAGATAGGATGAACACAATCTAGCAAAAGTTAGACCAGGTTAGACCAACATTAGGCCAGGCTAGACCAATGTTAGACCATGTTAGGCCAGGCTCAATGGGACATCTCATGAACAGTGGCCTCCCGAAACCCAGGATAAGGGGACAGGAAGGGTACCAGAGGTTCCTGTCACATGTCTCATCTGCTCATCTTCCCACCCACCAAACTCATGATTTTCACTCTCTTCTCCCATCATCCTTCAGCACCATCTCCCTTAGATGACAACATGGTCTTATGCTTAGTTGGGAAGAAGTCAGACTGAGTAAAACACATCTTCACCAAGTTTTACAGTCTTCCCCTGTTAGGTCTCAGCCACTTTCTGGTCTCATCTCTCTAACATCAAGGGCTAGCGCTGATGCTACTCAAGACTCCTTTACCCACCTCTCTTTTCTCTCTTGCAAGCCCCTCCTTGCCAGTATTTCTGTTAACACTGAACATCTGCAATGTCTACCATCCTAAGAATACTCACGCTTAGAAGCCTGTGATGTTGGCATTAGAGAGACACAGACAGGAAACTTATCTGGAGTTCAAGGCCAGCCTGCTCTACACAGTAAGTTACACACCGGTCTAGAGCTACAGGAGAAACTCTACCCCCATTTTCAAGAATAACCTACGCTTCTCAGGGTTGCGTGTCCAGGTCCTCTCTAGTTCTCAGCTCTCCTCCCACACCACCTGAGAAGAACTTCCTGTTGCTCATGCTGACCCCACAGCCTTCTCTCTCTAACACTCTTCCCTGATGTTCATGGCTCCAGGAAACCTGCTCTACTTCCAGGATCCTCTGCAAGCTATGTCTAGTCTTCCTGGTGCTCTCAGAGCCTACTCCATCTGGAGCTTTGCTCTTCCTCTCCCAGTACCTCCAGGCAGGTCCTGGGATTTCATTGCTAACTTCTGCATGTGACATTACGTTTCTTCCTTGGACCATAGCACCTCTCCCAACTTCTCTGATCGAAGATCCAGCTGCACACTTGGCCTCCTGGCTCAGGTGCCCAACAAGCTCACACTACCTATGAACCCAATACAGGTGAACTCAGTGACAGCATCAACTTGGTGACATCAGTGTGAGGGGCTACAGCATTCACCTGGCTCCTCTGTGAGTGACCATTTACAGAAGCCAACACCCACCTAACAAAATACTAATAGTAGCCAATCACTTCCCCTGCTTAAAAGTCACCAGCAGGCCGAGTGTAGAGGCACACACCTTTAATCCCAGAACTCCAGAAGACAGACCAGTGGACTTCTATGAGTCTGAGGTCAGCCTGATCTACATAGCAAGTTTCAGGCCAGCCAGGGCTACATTGTGAGACCTTGTCTCAAAAGTAAATAAGTCAGGGCTAGAGAGATGGCTCAGCACTTAAGAGCACTGTCTGCTTTTCCAGAGGTCCTGAGTTCAAACCCTAGCAACTACATACTGGCTCACAACCATCTGTAATGGAATCCGATGCCTTTTTCTGGTGTGTCTGAGAACAGCAACAGTGTGCTCACATATAAAATAAATAAATAAATAAATAAATAAATAAAACTTTTTTTAGGTTGTTAAAAATTTTAAGAGCTTCCAGAGAGTTCCACTGCCTCAGGAAAATCTAGATACATAGTGAGGTCCTCCAGAATCCTTGCATCCAGCCCCTGCCTGCACTCTGTATGCCTGCCCCTATCTCCAGCCTCTTACTCGCCTGACTCATGCTAAGACCTATGAGTTTTCAATTCCCTCTCAGGGAAGCCTTCTTCGAAACCATCTGTAGGGGCCACCTTCCTGCACACTGAACATGGCCAGGCCATGCGCTCATCACTGCTGGCAAACATTCCTCATTCATCCGATTAGCAACCGGGCTCCAGACTGTGCAAGAAAAGTACCTTCCCTCACTCAGTGCTGTGTTCCCAGATCCCAGGACCAAAGAAATTAGGAACAAATTAAATATCCTGTATGGTCGCAAACCAGTTTGGCTCCTTAAGCACACAGAAGAAGAAAAAAGTTTATAGAGTCTTTTAAAGTTGCCAAGTCAATGAAGACAGCAGTCGTGGTCAGCCTGAAGCTCCTGTCTTCTGAGACTTATTCCAGAGAACCAGAGGGGCCAGGTGGCTCCCGCTGAGCTGCAGACTAACGCCTATTCTTGATGTTTCTCTCTATCAGCGTGGCTTTAGGTCCCATCACCACCCCTAGTCCTAAGTTCCCATCCACTCCTCCGATATTCCACACCTTAGTGAAGGAACCTCTGGTTTCTCAGCTTCCTGGGCGGCAGATCTGGCTGCCACCCTTCCCTTTATTCTTCCCTTGCTTAATTCTTTGCAGACCAACTCCTCAAGCCCTGGGCTGCAGCTCCTTCACAGGGCTTCTTGATGCAAAGAAGGCATGCTTCCTCTGGACTCTCCACTGCCATCTGCTGGAAAATTCATGTCATTAATTCACAAATCTATACCTCTCAGATAACAGGTGTACAGTAAACAACCCACACATGGTGGCCCTGGTTGAGTTTGTCCATTCAATCCCATATTTGTCTCTCATACCCACCCATCCTCACCGCTCCAGTATTTGGGGTCCACATCACTGTGTCGTCTTCCGAGATAGTCTCACTGATGGTAGTCCCTTATTTGGGATGTCCCCCTCCACACCACTCAAAACAAACTTTGAAACAAATCCCCTTCTTTATCCTCTAACCCAACATCCCTGGTCACCTTGGTGTATCTAAAAGGAAAAAAATCACTTTTGCATGTCATAGTGTGTGGCCTGTCCACCACCTTGTCCTCCCTCTGCTCCACACAAGCCCTGAGCCCTGAGCCCTGAGCTCACAGTGACCTGACTCATATCCACCTTCATACCTACCGCGGCACTAGGTCTGCCTGAGATGCCCCTTCAATGCCTTTGTGACAACTAAGAGCCCCCCAGGGGAGCCTTTTGGAAGGCTTGGCAGACTCAGAAGTCCTCTCTGTGCCTCTGATGCTTTCCATAGAGGTGACAGACCATGTGTGGGTGGCACCATCTGACAACCAAGATAAAAGATGTCTTTTGTTTTCTATTTTCAGCAAGGACTATAATCTGGCCTATGATCTGTGCTCAATAAAAGAGATAGAATCAGTAATTTCTTATAAATGAGGTTCGACCTCTCTGAGTGTGTCTCAGATCTGTAATATCTCTTCTTCACCAGTCGTATGCACCAGGAGCCAGGCAGTACTTAGCTTTCCTCTAGAGCTGCCATGGCATTCACATTTGTTGTTCTTGTGGTTTAAATATGGCCCCAATAGACTCATTGGTTGAATACTTGAAGTCTATAGCTTATGGTTTAAATGCAGTCCCGATAGGCTCATTGGTTGAATACTTGGTATCTATAGCTTGTGGTTTAAATATGGCCCCATAGACTCATGGGTTGAATACTTGGTGTCTATTGCTTGTGTTAGTGCTGTTTTGGAAGCTGTGGAATTTTCAGGTGGTGGGACTTTCAGGTGGTGGAACTTAGCCAAAGAAATGAGTCACTAGGGATAGACCTTGAGAGTTTCAGTCTAGCCCTGTTTCCAGTCAAAGCTCTTTGCTTCCGTGATCTGTCCAGATGGGAGGTGTCTCAGCCACATGATTCTGCTGCCATAAATTTAGCCATGATTTCCTGTCTAAGATGGACTGCACCCACTCAAACCATGATCCAGAATAAAGCCTCCCTCTCTTAAGTTGTAGCCATCAGGCATTCCCACAGCAATGATAAAGGCGTACAATGCTTTGCTGCTCGCAATTCTGCCGAGTCCTTCCCCTGCTCAGGAATCAAAATATGTTCACAAGCTCCATCTGACATGAACAGATTGTCTGAAGCAGAAGTCTAAAAGGTGAACATATCCCTAGCATTCAGTCTCAGAATTCCACACAAGGACTTGCAGAATAGAGATGTGTGTCTGTTTGAAAATGGCCTCTCTGTCCACTGAAGGTTGGTGGGATCAGGAGGCCAAGCTGTGGGAGCAGTCATCCTTAGAGATTCATTCCACCAACTCCCATTCACTAAGAGGTCCTTGGTGTCACCTAGATTTACCACCAAGTCCTAACAAATGACCCTCTTGGGAGACATGGTGTGGGCAGGAGGTCTACACATTAGTTTCTGCCCTACAGTCAAAGGCCATCTGCCACTCAGCCCTCCCTCTGCATGACAGTAAAGCGATGACAGTAAAGACGGAAAGGTCAGGACATGGAGCCATGGCTTCATCACCTTCTATGAATTTCACTTTCACATAGCGAAGGAAAACTGTATTTATTATGTGTAACTGATATTTTTAAACATACACATATAACATGCTAACATAACAAACCTTTATTTTTGTCTTCTGATTTCCTTCTTACCTTTCCTTTGTGCTTTTATTTCTGGGTTTTACACTTGCACATGAGCAATTTTAGCTCTTTTTACCCCCACTACACTCCCCATTCCCTGTTCCTCACTCGTTGAAACTCTTCTTTCCCACCAAGTCCCTCTCCTACTGTCTATGTCTTGTTTCATGTGCATCCCACTGAGTATAACTAGGACACCTGCATGGGCGTGGAGGGGGTTATTCACAAAAGCACAGACAACTTTTCAACAGCTATACCACTGAAGAAAGTGACGTGGCTATGAATTTATAGTCTTCTTGCTGAGAATACAGGCGTGTACTGCCAAGGACCAGCCTCAGCTTGGAGAGGGGCTCCTGAGAAAAGGGGAGTTTGAGAGCATCAGGGGGAAAAAATGACTCAAAGTGAAATCGTGGGGTACAAGCTGACAGCCTTTGTTCTGCTCGAGATAGCTTTCCAGATAGCCCTCTAATCAAGACAGCTCTCTCTTGCTTGAAAAAAATTTCTAAAAATTCTCTGGATAACTCATCTCTTGTAGATCAAAAGCCCGGTCTTTTATTTATATCAATTCAATCATTTTCCAAGGTCCCCCAAGTTCCCCCCACAATTCTTAGAAAAAGACAGCAAGCACATTTTTAACACATTGCCAGTGAATTCAGAGATCTACTTGCCTTTGTAAGCACAAACAATAAACTTAGCTGGGTGGGATCCCATCCTGAGATGACCATTCCAACCACGCCTGGACCTAAATTCATTCTGTCCCAGGCTGACCTTGAACTCAGGAATCTGCCTGCCTTTGTATCTTTCTGACAAGCTGGCTCACAGTGCAGCTGCCTCTGTTCTTTTAGGTCCATGAAGCCCCTCATATAATTCACATTGCATTCTTATATATTACATAGTTAAAAAATTATATATTTTTGAACTCATATTTTTGGCATTCTTTCCCACAGCCTTAAAGGCTGTCCTGAACTCCACATCATTCTACCATTTTGCTGAGACATTAGACACACCCTCATTTCCCGGATTTATTCTGTCTGATTATCATGGGGTCATTAACCTTGGCAGAGTAGACATTCCCCAATAACCTTGACAGGGAGAATATTTCCTGAAAGAGGAACATGAAGTAAAATACATATTTTTTTATACAAACAATCCTCATGCCCAATAATCATTATATATAGACACACACACACACACACCTCATGCCTAGCAACCATCAACATTGGTGAAGGCCCACACCCTGATGTCTCTGTTCCAGGGATGGGAAATAATGTCATGCCATCCCTTCTACATGGCCATGCAAGATTCAGCAGTGGACCATCATACCCACTTCATGAAAACTTGGAGATTGAACCCAAGGTTTCATGCATGCTGAGAAGGCAATCTGCAAACTGAGCTACAACCCCTAAGCTCCTAACAAGATCATTCTGAAAAGGGGGAAAAAGGCTCAGCTGTGTTTGGTCCTCAGTGAGATCGCCACACCTGGTTCTGTGTATAGCCCAATTTTGGGGAGCTGGCAGTTCAGAACTGGGAGGGCTTTGGCAAAGTCTTCTCTCTAATGAACCAGAGAGTAAATGTTTACTGGGGACAGCCTATGCCATAACTACCAGCTTTGTTAACTAATGTTAACATGGCAGTAAGGAAGGAAAATGAACAGGGCTATGTCCTGATGTGATTTTATTTATTATCATTTTCATGGGTCATAAAGTATTAGTCTTCTTGAGACTTTTTTTCAACCTTTTAAAGAATGTCAAAACCATATTTAGCTCTCCCGTATTTAGTAAAAACAGAGAACAATACAATGCAAAGGAGTATCCCACATGCAGGGGTGCATGGGAAGAGCAGGAGCTTCCCTTCCTCTCCCAGCACATCCTACAGATCAGGGCTGAGACCCAGCAGGCAGTGGAGCTGGAGGAGGAGGCCTGCCTGATCCTGAAGAGCCCAGAACATTTATGCTTGCACTTCTCCTTTGAGTGAAAACCTAACAGGAAACAGAGGCTCCTGACCTTTTGCAGAGCTTGGATTGAACTTTCATGCAGAAACAGGGCCTCATCAGTAAATAGTTCTCTTATTAACATTGCATTTCCAAAGAAAAAGACTAAGGAACACACACATTTGGTTTTAATGGGGTTTTGCACTGGTCCCTTCTCTTTCTGACTTGCTTTTGTTTCTTTGGACAGAAACTGTTCCAACTTCAAGATCCCTGGCCCTTCTCCAAGTAGCATTTATTCTCAGTCCTTGTTCATTTTGGAATCTAAAAGTCTAAACTTTATCCTACTCCCGGAGAGCCATTCTTTGTCAAAACCCTCTCTGCCAGCACCCCAGTTTCTGTAGGAAGCTGAGGAGCCTCTGGCCGATTGTTAATCATTAGTGATGGCATGCTACCTTTGCCATAAATCATGTATCTGTGGGCTGGAGAGATGGCTCCGCAGTTAAGAGTGCTTGTTACTCTCACAGAGGACCAGGGTTCAGTTCCCAGATCCCACAAGGTGGATCACAACCATCCACAACTCAAATTCCAGGAGACCCAATGTTCTCTTCTGCCCTCCAACAACACCAGACATGCATGCAGTATACATACATACACGGAGGAAGAAACACATACACATAAAACAAATAAATGTAAAACATAAAGTTGAAATAATGAATTCCATATCCGCTGCAAGCTTTGATCTGTATACGCCAGCATGGAAGCTATTTGTGCAGAAAGCCATCCTCTAAGAATGACTAGCAATACCTCTCATCATTCAAAACATCTACTGCCAACACAGCATCCAAATGATTCAAACTTTCTGGCCACTACTTGTGCTGGCTAGTTTTATGTCAACTTGACATAAGTTAGAGTCATTTTGGAAGCAGGAACCTCAGTTGAGAAAATGCTCCCACTAGACTGGCCTGTGAGCAGCACCTTCCACGGCCTCTGCTTTAGTTCCTGACTTGAGTTCCTGCCCTGCCTTCCTTTGGTGATGAAATGACCTGGGAGCTGTACACTGTAATAAACCCTTTCCTCCTTGGTTGCTTTTGTTCATGGTATTTTTATTATAGCAATAGAAACACTAAGACACCAGAAAAACAAAACATGGCAGATCTTGACTAATCTTAAATAGCGTAACACATCTGGACATGCCTGGAAAAAAGTCACTTTTCCCTACTGGGGATCCTGGTGGGAAAACAAATCTGGTACTCTGCTATTGACTCTCCTGTCTTTCCACAGTGCTGTCTTTGGGCTTTGCCAGATTCCTCAGTAGTTTCTCTCACAGGCTAAGGGACCCTCAGCACTCCTTATAATCTGTAGTCTACAGAGCCCTCTCTTTCTTCATCTTTCATTTTGCTGACTTTTTCTCATCGTACCTTCATGAGGAAACCTAAGGAAAACACAGTCAACTGTTTGTTAGAATGTGTGTGAATGAAGCCAATGGAAAGGAAGCTGTTTTTACACCAGCCACTGCTTCTGGAAAGGATGCTGCACCCACGTCAGACATTGTACCAAGAGGCATGGGTGCTGGTTATTCCTATCTGGAGCCATGATACCTTCAAGGCTGGTGTGATGGTTTGTATATGCCTGGCCCAGGGAGAGGCACTATTTGGAGGTGTGGCCTTGTTGGAGTAACTGTGTCCCTGTGAGTGTGAGCTTTAAGACCCTAGTACTAGCTACCTGGAAGCCAGTCTTCTCCTCGAAGCCTAAAGATGAAGATGTAGAGCTCTCAGCTCTTCCTACACCATGCCTGTCTGGACACTGCCATGCTCCTGCCTTGATGATAAGGGACTGAACCTCAGAACCTGTAAGCCAGCCCCAATTAAATGTTGTTCTTATAAGAGTTGTCTTGGTCATGGTGTCTATTCACAGTAGTAAAACCCTAACTAAGACAGCTGGTGAAGGGTTTTCTACCAAATTGTTGTCTCTTACTTTGTGTTGGCCACTGTCTCAGTAAATACTTTGAGATGGAGGTAATATCCTGGGTAATGCCATGCTTCCCCTAAAAGCTTCTTTGAACAGTCATTAGAGATTCAGAGAGCCCATGTTGGCTATGTGGGTCACCAAGTGGTAGCCTTCAACTGACTGCAAGTCTCTTCTGGCCTTAGCTATGATGGCCCTTTCCTCTCTTTGCTTTGCTGTCTCTGTATTTATATCAATGTGACTCTTCTCCTCGGTGGTTTTAATCTGTTGCTTTCTTTCCTTACTTATGATGCTCAAATTAGCCCAGCATTTCCCAGTCAGTAGATATCCCCACCCTTTGAGAGTTCACCTTGGGCTTTCCCAGCTCCAGTTCTCTAGGCAGACATGGAGATTCTTTGTACCTCAAAGAAATAACTGCTCTGTAGAAGCCAAGACCTGACACAAGCCATGATGAGCAAGCCTTCCTACCAAATCCCTCAGATTAAAACAGCAAAGGTGTTTTAAAAGAGCCCAATTTCTGCAAAGTACACATCCCTGAGCTAAACCAGAAGGTCTAGATTACCCCGTCCTGTACTGGGACATATAGCTTAGTAAGAGAACACATCCCTAACATCTGTGAGGTCCTAGGGTTAGTCTCCACCACCCTCTATAATGATAATATTTAAAATCACAGCCCTCTAGGAACTCTTTGTGGGGAAATCCCATGCCCATTGCCTCCAGTATCTATGAGGACACAGCAAGAGACTGACAGCAACCTCAGTTTCTCCATCCTTCCAGGGGCTAGCTGACCCAAATTTGGTACCCAAAGAAGAACAAACAATGGTCATACAAGAAAACAGTGGAAATACAATGAAAAGATCTTCACTGAGCTGCCTAATACAGGGGAACTGACTCTGACCCCATCCCAACCTCCCCAATTGCCTTATGTCCTAGCACCAGCTGCAGCTGTCTTCCTCGGAAGTGGCAGCTACTGTGAGCTCCCTTGTGATCAAAGCTAGGCTAGCACCAGACTCAAGGTGCAGCAATCTGGGGTTGCTGTGCTGTGTATCCTTATGATGTTTCAGTTCTGGTTGCTTTGGGGAGCAATATCCCAAGAGTTTTCTCGCCTAAGTACCACCTTCATTTGCTATTTTATCTGCTGTGGACATGCGCTGACTTGGGCTGCCATCACAGAATATTAGCAACTGGGTGCCTTCGACAACATTTATGTCCTCAAAGTCTGGAGACTGGAAGTCTCAGATGGTGGAGCAGTCCAGTTCTTTCCTGCTGAGAGCTCCCTTCATAGCTTGGCGACACCTCCTCTCCATGTCCTCACACAGCCCCTCCTCGGTTGGCAGACACGGTGTTTCCCATTGACTTCCTCTTCCTAAAAAGACATCCATCCTCCTGGGCCAGCTCCCTTCACTGTTCTTATGACCACACTCCCACTCTTACAGTCTCGTCCCCAAGCAAATCAAGGCCTGGGACTTCAGTGTATGCATTGGGGGAGACAGTTCAGCCCATGATAACTTAGAACTGCTTGCATTCTTTCTGAATCAACCCAGGATAATAGTAAAGGGACCCAGTGTTTCCATTGTCCCCAGGGGTCCTTAGCCTCCACATCAGTCCCCATACTCCACCAAAACCGACAGAGACCACCTGACCTCCACAGCTGAGCCTAGAACTATGCCTGCAATTGGTAAACTCAAGTAAATCCTGACTGCGTCATATTGGCTCTTTCTCCCGTATCCTAGTTCTAAGAATACACTGTCCCTTCCAAAGCTGCCCACTTTCCCCTCTGTATTTAAATGTGTGAGTTTCCCATTGCTAAAAGAGGCTTCTAGAAGTGGGGTGTAGACACACATAACATGCGTTCCAGGATTTCGAGAGTGGAAGCAGGAGGATCAGAAGTTCAAGGTCATCCTCAGCTACATAGCAAGTTCAAGGCCACTGTAGACTACAGGAGACCCTGTATCTAAGAACAAGCAAAATCATCCAGGGGCAGAAAGGTAGAGGGGATCCATGTATGGGTGAGAACTCCTGAAGAGAGCCAACAAGATAAATACAGCAGGGCATGGACCCCAGAGCCATCCTCCTCACTGTGCAGGAACATCCAGGAAGACTTACGGGAGACAGACACTGGCAGGAAGGACATTGTCCATCTCTGGGACAGCTTTTGGCACTGGTGCCCACAGGTCTGAAGAATGTTGTTCATCAAATACTGAATAGTCATTCTGATCTATCAATCTTGTTGGGTGGCCCACTTCTCTGACATCCCCTTTCTGACAGGGATTGTGTTAGAGGCTGCAGATCCTCAGAGACAAGTGCTCCCCTACTATAGAGACCTGGGCATGGGCGTAGACAGTTGCCTGGCAAGGCCCAGATCTACAAGGTTCATCTTGCCCCATCTGGGTCATGGTTTTTATTTCCCAGTATTCCTAAGGATTCTGTCTGTAGACTCATCTGTTACAGCCCATCCTACAGGTTTCCTTTTCTTTTTACTCAGCCAATTATGATTTCTTGTCAAAGATGACACTGCTCTACCGTTACCTAAATATGGTATTATTCAAAAGCAACACTGGACTTTGTCATTGCTTGGGTAGCAAGCTGAGTTAGTCAGCTTTCTGTCACTGTGATGGAATATTCAAAGGGATCGATTTATGAAGAAATAAGGTTTGCTTCGGTTCACAGTTTTGGAGATTTGGGCCCGTGATCAGCTGCCATTGCTTTGGGTGTTGTAGGGTGGTGCTTCGTGTGCCGAGTAGAACTTCTTACTGCAAAAACCACAAAGCAGAGGAGATAGGAGGGACCTCTTCCCTCCACCCTCAAGGGCACCCCTCGATGACCTGTCACCCTCTATATCATCCTATCCCTCATAAACACCCATCATACCCTCCCAATATGAACTGGCACAGAAACCAAGCACTTACCATGTGAACAGCACTTACTTGTGAGCCATCATGTGGATGCTGGAAACTGAACCCAGGTCAAGCCCTCTTAACTGTTGATCCCCCTTCTCCAGCCGCACGTGTAACACTTCAATAAGTCAACTGATGAATTTAAACGGGGCTCCAACAACAATCCTGCCTTCCTGTTGACCTTTTCTTTAACACTTGCAGCAAAGATGGAGTGAATGTAACAGGTGTCTCAAGGCTACAAACAGGAGCTTGGTTTTTCTTCCCTTGGCTTCGGTTACCAATGCTCAACTAAAGATCAAATGCTCAAGAAAAATGTTCAAAAACAGCCTCTAAGTTTTCAGTTGCTTAGCATTTACGGAGGTATGATCTGATCTCTCACTTTCAGGAATCCACGTCATTCCTCGTTTTACATATCGATCTGTGTGCCTAACCCATCTGTGAGTCACGTGGCCATCTCAGTTATCAGATTGCCTACTCTGGTTATATACCTATTAGCAATGGCCTCAAAGTACAAAGTCCTGCCAGAACCAAAGAACAGCAATCCTGCCCCTGCCAAGTGGCTCTGGCTATGTCCCACCTCACCCCACTGGCATTATTGGGGTTAAACTCATGCCAAAGAGTGAGCAAAGTTAAGCAGGGACTGTGAGTGTTGACCAGGAAGCTCAGGCTGTTCCTGGAACTTGTCCAAGCCAGAGGCCGAATGACAAATCAGAGCAGAACAAGACGCCTGAGGGAGCCCTTCAGAAGTCTCGTTCTGAGATACTCCATCCCTGTACATCCATGCTTCCCACCTTCCCCAGGAGCTTCCAGGGGCTGTGCAGGCTGCAGAGAGCAAATCTTTAAGAGCCAGTCTTGTGACATGCCAAACTCACCACCCACGTTGACCTTACATCATCTTAACACTTAGATAAGAGAGTGTGATTTGAGGCCATCACGGTCCCCATGTTGGGGGACATGGCTCTCTTCAGGCTAGTGAATAAAAGGCCTAGTAGCTATACTTAAAGGTCGTGTAATATACCCTCTGGGGCCTGAAAATCCCAGGGATCTGTTTTCTGACCCATAGCTAGCTAATGGCCCCCTGTGGCAGCTCTCTCCTCTGGCAAACCTACACTAGTCAGTCCTTCCACACACAATCTCCCATCTCTTCCCTTCTTCAAAGGCACTGCCTTAGGCTACTGTGGCTAAGAGACTGAAAAGTATAGTCTTGCCCAGGGACACATCACTTTGGTCCATTTCTGTCGGTGTCAGTTCTCTTATCTGGAAGAGTAAGAACCCTGTGCAGTCTTTAACTCACATCCCCAAACCGACTGCAAGTATGGATTAACTGGACAAGGAACGTGGCACAGACCTAGAAGACCTAGACCTCAGGAAGACCCTCCAGCCTCTGCCAAGTTCAAACATCTGCAGTTCTCCCAAGGCAAGCTCCTTTTTCCCCAGCACTGCCCACCACAGACAGCTATCAACTACAGGAGCTAACCTACAGGGCACTCGTAAATCTCCATGCAAAACAGACATTCCACTGAGGCCACCCTTGAGCTTCTCCAGGCTTACACGTAAGCGGGAATGTCTGCCTTGATAATTACACCCACATTTCAACCAACCCCAAACAGAAAATGAGAAAGAAATGGACCCAAGCGGAGCATAGACAAACCTTTTCTCTGGTCATTCCCAAAACACTACCATATAACTATTTACACAGGATCTGCCTTGGATATTATTAGCAGTCTATAATATGAGGTATGCAGGAATAAATGCATCACTTATATGAAAATCCTCCATCAATTTATATTATAAGGGGCTTGTGCATCTATAGACTTTGGCACCTTCAAGGGGATCAGGACATCAAGGGACTTCAGTCACTCTCAAGCCCATGTAGAGCAGGAAGATGAGGAAGAGAGGAAGAGGGGAGGACATCTCTGTATATTGAGTAGTTCATAATGACAACACAGAATAACAGTAGTAATTTATCATATATATATATATATATATATTTCAAAGTACTTATATCATGCATTGATCAAACAAGTTGAAACACCTCGCCTTACGCCTTATACTAGAAAGGAAGGACTTTTATTGAGGTGGTATCTCAATAGGTTGCAGTGGAATGTCTTCCACTTTCTTTTTTATCTTTTTTTTTTCCGAGACAGGGTTTCTCTGTATAGCTCTGGCTGTCCTGGAACTCACTCTGTAGACCAGGCTGGCCTCGAACTCAGAAATCCACCTGCCTCTGTCTCCCAAGTGCTGGGATTAAAGGCGTGCACCACCACCGCCCGGCTTCCACTTTCTAAAATAATGAATTAATCAATTAATTACTTAAGGAGTCTCTTAAGCTCAAGTCATTGTCAGGTTCATGATGTAAAATAAGAAAATGTTAAAGAGAAGGAGGGGGAAGAGGACTGGTGGATTTTTGTTCATGGTGACAATCACAATAGACATAGTCCTCGTATATGTGGGTATAATAAAACAGTTGTATCATGCATTCATCCAAGCTGGGGAGCCTGGATTCCAGACAAGTCTCCTAACAGACAGGTCTTATTAGCAAATAATCTCTGGCACTTCACTGACTCCTGCATGTGTCACTGACTCCTTCACTGAGTCCTTCCTTTCTGGTATAAGGCGAAGTATTTCAACTTGTTTGATCAATGCATGATATAAGTATTTTGAGATATATATACACATGAAAAATTATCTACTACTGTTATTCTGTGTTGTCATTATGAACTACTCAGTATACAGAGGTGTCCTTTCCTCTTGCGCTCTTCCTCATTTTCCTGCTCTACATGGACTCGATAGTGACTTGACGCTCCCAGTCCTGCAGCCATCAGGGATCAATGTCACAGACCAGCCTGGGCAGCAGTGGCCACGTCTACATTGCAATGCTCTGAGAAGTAGTGATGAGATGGCTAGGGAAAGCCCTGGATGGACATCACCTCACACAAGAGTCCCGACCCTCCTGCTCATTAGCTGTGTCCCGTACAGTCATCTGACCTCCCTGGACCTCAGGTTCTGTATCTGATGTGATGTCTGCTTGGCTTGGCCTTGAGGCGTCTTAAAGGACATGGAATAAAAAGCCTACCTTGGAATCTGAAATGAGGGACACAATTAAACCGAAGAGGCTGCGTCTGACACACTGGCACACCCGGCACACTTGGAGCTCCCAGGCACCTGTGAAACTGCAGATGGTTCAAACATCTAAAAGTGTCAACCTAGTAAAAGTGGCTACTCTCTCCTCATTAGCTGGCAACTCTCTCCTGGCAGACCCTTGATAAGAAAAGCTGGGACCCACACATGTAAAATCCAAATATGTTAGAACACTTTAGCTCTGAGATTATCCCCATAAGAAAAAGACAAAACTGTCCACCAACTAATCCCAGGTTGAAAGGTCTCTGTGCTTCTCATGCATTTTATACCTAACACAAGTCAGGCCAAGCAGACACCTCTGCTTTCAGGTGGCAGGACCTGGTCTACCAATTTTACCCATCAAAGATCTGTGACTACAAACCCGAAAATGAGGGGACAAATGCAGTCACAGATGTAGCCATGGTGACAGAAGGGCCAAGAGGTGGCTTGGTCTGTCTTGCATGCATAAGGATGAGTTCAATTCCCAACACACATGTTTTTAAAAAGCCAGGCAGGGTGGGGCACACTTGTAATCTCAGTGCTGGGAAACTAGAAATGGGGGGGGGGTCCCTAAAGCTCCCTGGCCACCCAGTCCAGGCTGCTTGGTGAATTTCAAGCCAGTGGGAGACCCTGTGGTGGTCTCTGAAGAATGATATTCAAAGTTGTCTCATGACCTCCACATGTAAACACACATACACACACAGAGGGAGGGAGAGAGAGAAAGAGAGAGAGAGAGAGAGAGAGAGAGAGAGAGAGAGAGAGAGAGAGACATAGGACGTTAGCCAGGTATGGTGACACATGCATGTAATCATATACTTATATTGCAGGCAGAAGGACCAAAGTAGCCTGGACTTCATGAGGCCCTGTCCCCAGCCCCTTCCCCAAGAAAAAGTGTAGTATCAATGTACTCAAGATCATGTACTGTGACATCAGACTAATAATAGGGCAGGCAGAGCCTGTGTCTTCAAGCAGAAAGCAACAAGGAAAGGCTTGCCCTGAGAACACAAGTACTTCTCACAGACAGCGAGGAAGTCAGAGCTATAAATCAAAGGGGAAGGGTCAAATAGGCAGCTGTCTGGACCCACCAGTGAGATGCCAGTGTTCCTGTCCCACTTCCAACATCCTGCAGCCTGGTCTGCACTGAGGACAAAATAGTTGAGGTTTCTGCCCAACGGTACCAGGACTCAGAGACTTTTTGTCTAACAGTATCAGAGCTAAAAGTAGAAGAATGAGCATAAAGCACTGAGTCCCATTCTACGGCTCTTCCTCCCAGCAGGGTGTCCTAGTCCAAGCATTGCAAGTTATGAAGCCCCTGCCATGCTCTTCTGACCCAAGCCAGCTCTGAGAACAGCTATCAGGGCCTGACCCATTGCCCCAAGTGCTAGGAGTAGCCAGCCCTCAGCCTTAGGGGTCCTTGCTGGTCTGTCCGGGCCTCCAGTGGCAGCCATGTGTCTGAGGTCAGAAGGCTGGAACAGGAAGAGGAGAGGCTCTAGGAAGGAAGTGCTGTACACAGCTGTCTAACAGCTCAGGTCCTCAGTTTCCCTGGAAACCAGCCGTAGCATCCCTCAGGAGTTCGTCTTTGCGTACCTTGAGGGAAGGCTGCTGGTTCTCCTGCCAGGGAGCCATCACCCAGTGTTCATGGTCAAGTAGTTCTCTACCCTTGTCAGATCTGGAATCTGAGTCCACAAGCAACATGCAGGTCCTGTCTCCAGGTGGATCATGCTTAGCGCCTCCCACTGGAGAGCAAGCATGTGGGTCACAGGTCAGAAAGACCAAGTTCAAAAATCACAGGAGAGTGTCCCTTCCCAGCACAGCACCCTCATGCTGGCCAAGATGAGTCTCCCCTCACTTGCCCCATCTGAAGCAACTTGCCTTCCCTGTCACCATCCTCAGCTAAGCATGAAAGGACGCGCGGGCTGCTCCCGGAAAACCCTCTTGGCTGTAGAGCGGAACCTAATGCTTCATGCTCATTCTTCTACTTTTAGCTCTGATACTGTTAGACAAAGAAGTCATGCTTGCATATGACAGCCTCTTCAATAGCACAAATGAATACAGAATGAAAATCCCCTCCCCCCAGGCTCACTGCCCACACAGGCAGAACCCATGCACACGGTGGCTTGAATATGTCACCAGAAGTGTTCTTTTCTTATTGAGGCATGCATGACATGCATCACTGTATATTCAGGTATTGTCTACATGGTAGCATGCATCGGCCCTTCAGTTAACTGCTTCGAAATGTTACACGTGCAGCAGACTTTTATAAACACA